GGTGGTGGCTACTAGCCTATAAACTGATGTTTATTCTGACCGAGTGACGATTGAAGCGTAAATATTTGTGAAATAGTAATAGTGCTAACATGGTTGAAATGAGTACATTCTTTTGTAATACACTTTCCTTGCTGATCAATAAAGATTCAACGTTGCTCAAATAGAAAAAAGAAAAATCCCAGCTAGAAAAATCTTTATTCAAGTTCAGCAGAAATAAAAATCCGTTCAAGTTCAACATGATATTGAATCTTACTTTTAATATTTTAGAGGGGGAAAGGAAAATATTACTGTAGTTTGGCGTTCTTAGGCTCCTTCGAAACTGTAAATCAGTTGTCACACTTGGGCCTTTTCCAAAAAACAAAAAAGGGTTATGGTACTTGGGCCATTCGGTTGGGGCTATTGCACTGGGGTCTCATGGGATTAACGATACTGCTAAGTATTCTGCAAAATGCACCGCCAAAATTTGGAAGGCTGAGGTCGGAGTGAAATGGAGGGAGACATTGGCGGTGAGGTTCCCTGCTCTTCCTTCGCCGTCGACTCCGCCCTACGCGTAGGCACCGTAGGGAACATCCCTCTGCTTCTCCGTCCTCCTCTACTTGTGTGTGTATGTATATATATTCTTACTGCGATTATTTTTTTTTATTGACAAAAGAGGTTAAATTGGGCTGGTGCAGGCTGGGTTAATCTGGGGTTCTTGTACAGGATCGCTCGAAGCTACCAAATTAGGTGATTCTCAAATCCGTGCTGAATCTTCTTTACTTTACGGTTATGGAGTTCCAGTATTACTAGCTGAGCTTTTTTTTTACATGTCTACTTGGTTTAGGTCTAACTGGCATTACTCGTGCATCTTTCGTGGTAATTCCAACCCACAACTGCTTTCTATCTTATGTTACAACCATAAAAGTTCTAATCTAACTAGTAATTCTTCTTGTGCAAAAATTGCAGGCTAAGTCAGCGGGTCGATATGGCATTCAATGGGGTAAATGTCTCTTTTTCTTTAATGTTTCACACAGTGAACTTTCTTCATTTTTTGTTTTTCACACCACGTAAATTTTTAATTTTGTGCAACTACAACTTCTACGAACCGCTCTATTAGTCGGATGGTAAACACCCTTTTTCTTCAACTAGAGAAACAGCTGAAAAATGGCACTTCTTCTTGGCCAATAACACATGGACTTGAACAGAACAAGTGTACATGTATTAAGAAGATTGCAGCAGTAAACTGGGTAACCGAGGGACGGCTAGAAGGAAATTGAAGCAAAAGTATAGGAAATAGACAAGGTTGGACAATCATGCTTTTCACCTTCCATGCGAACCATGAGCCGCACAGTAAACTTCTACCATCTTCTTCAAGGTAATATAGAGCTGCGATGGTGAAGAAGAATTACCGTTTCTTATGCTGCTTTAAATGAAGACAGGAATGCGTTATGTACCTACGCAAATTTTGCCATGACCTATGTACCCTGGACTGGTTTTGTTCGAGACAATATCTCAACTAAAATCGTCCATTTCCTCTCTAACCTTGGTGCTTTTGTAGACTACTTTTCCGTTGCATTCACTTCCATTAATTATCCCTGGTTGACATTGTTTTGTTGTCAATCTTGTTTACATTTACTTTCCCTGAATGCAATCTCCTTCTGGATTATAGGCTTAGTCTTCTGGTCTTTCTTTTTACAACAAAATTTGTCATTCACCATGGTGGAATTTAGATATACAAAATGATACTCCTTAGACCTTGTTTGTGAACATGATTCACTGTTGTCTATTCTAGGACTCTTTGCTACAGTTTTATCTTTTACTCGCTGTGGACTACAGAGATATCGCGGGCAACATGATTGGGTTAGTCTACTAGCTCAGTTCTTTATACTCTTTTACTTGTCTTCAAGTTAATGGATATTTTCCAGTTGATTAGTAGGTGTAGCTTCTCTGCTGTGATGCCTCATACCACATTTTGCAATTCTGTCCCACTCTAAAAGGAGCTTTTCATCTTGAAACATGAATCAGCTTTCCAGAGCTATTTGTGCAAGATTTGCGCAGTTGATCCTGAAAAGGTGGGAAAGACTTTCTAGTGACTTAAGTTAGGTCCACAAGATATCCAACTTAAAGGGAAAAGCTTGGGAAACCTATCGTTTCACTATCACTCTCTTTGGAACTTAAATTGTAGAAGATATTGGAATATTTAACCCACTAATGTTAGAGGGAAGCTTATTGTCAGTAGGATATCTGGTTCATTTCCTGTAATTTGTAAAAGGTGATGTCAGTAAAGAAAGTGTTACAGGCATGCATGAGACTTAAAAATAATAATAATGAGAATAATAATAATTTAGTTGTTTCCAAATCACTTCTACATGTTGGTTTATTCCAAAGCATATTGGGATCATGCTATAGGTAACTCGTTACTATCCATAATTACTAAGGTCATTTGTGTCCTGACACTACATTCAGGGCCATTACATGAACAAATTTTTGAATTGTTATCTACTAATTACCCATATAATGCAACCTGCTTACTGTAGAGCCAATAAAAGTCCACCTCTTAATGGGCTAGGATCCTGTTATTGTAGGTTTCAAAAACTTCTAGATTCAACTCTCTGATAATGAAACTGTGGGAGGATTATAAATTGCTAAATCTGGAAAGTTCATATACTTCCACAAAGCCAAATGTCTCTTAACAAAAATAGTAGAACATTGTTTCTGGTTAAGAATTTATGCATGATTGTTAGCACAGGATTAGCTATGTGCAGTGAAGGAAGTTAAAAAAAAAAAAAATACAAACATACACGTGCACGTGTACATGCACAAATAAGGGCCTACTAGTTATCTTTTTTTGGCGGGAGTCGAATTTATCATCACTAACTTATCTGTGCTACTGTTCACCCCTGCTAAGACTGCCATTGGAGGTATTGCAGCACAATCTTGTAACTCTTGTTCTCTTCTTCTCTTTTCACGAAGAGGAACAGAAAGATTTTGATTACTGTCCCAGATTCGAATTATGAGAAATGGAGTAACTTATAATGAGCTGGCTGGGGCTAACAAGAAACAGTTTTCTTTAAATATTTTCTGGCAATTGGTCACAGATTTTGAGGAGTAATGAAGTTTCCTTCTTTTAGTTACATCAAAAGATGTTTATCGGATTATTCTTATTCTTGTTTGCTATTTGTATGTCTGGAACAGATGACAAAAATCCTGGACGTAATTTATAATTATTCAACTTATGCTTGTAGGTGATACATTGAGATTGAAATTGGAATGTGATAGTCTAGATGGAGTGTATTTTGATCTTTGAGCATGTCCTCAAATGTGATATGATGCTATGGAACAGAAGAGTCTTGTAAGCATCTGAGATTTGTTATCTAATCTTTCTCTAGGTAAATCCTGTAGTTGCGGGTGCTGTGGCTGGGACAGTTATCGGTGCTAGTGCGCGTAATTGGAAGCAGGCTGCTGGAGTTTCTGGCCTTGTTTGTGCCTTGTATTACGCTGCTGAAGATGCCACATGATTTTCAGATGTCTGGTCATAATAAAGCCCACAGTAACGAACAAGATGAGACCACATTGTTTGCAGAAAGATTGAGCGAGTGCATGATCTCATTAGATGAGCTTAGGCAAACTTAATTCTGTCAGGAGAACATTTCAAACCTGTGTTTGTTTGTTAGTATTTTCCAGGCTTCTTGAGGGAATTTGGGTGGAAGGGTGCTTCTTTATGTTATTTTGTTAGCATCTCTGGCCATAGTTGATTCTGGTGAAACATGTATAGACAGACAATGAATTAAGGTTTTAAGGGGAAAATGGTATGGTTTCCAGTGTAGATTTGTTTTGATGGAAACCAGCCTCTGATTAGAAGGCTAGATTTTGAAAGGCAGGAGTTGTGTGGAGTAGTGTTGTAACCTGCTACTGAGTGATAAATCAAGGCGGATGCACCGTGGTTGGACTAAATTCATCCAATCCGTGTCACGGTTGGCGGTGACGACATGACATGGTTTTTACATTTGTGGATTTGTACTGGTGTGGACTTTGATTTGGGTCGGAATATAACATGGATTCATTGTGTCTGTATGAGGAGACAGTCTATAAGGTTATGCAACAACAACCAGAAAATGCAGATGAATATGGAAAGCCTCCCTCGTCCCTTCCCATATGGTGAATCATCAAATTATCTATGATGAGCGTCTTTCGACCGTCAGAAGTCCCTCCCGAATCCACAATCGGAAATGGGCTCCCATGGCCTGAAATGCTAACAACGTCAACGCATGTGTTTGTTTGGATTGCAATTATCTAACTAAAAGTCATTTATTTGTATCGGAAACATATTTTTCAATACATTTTATTTTGTGTAGTGACTTTTTTTTTTTATCTCAAATACATCACGCTACAAAAAAGTGATATAGTAATCATTTGAAATAATAATATTTCAAATAGTTTCCTGTCCAAAACATTTCTCTCCAAAATTTGCAACCGCTTTGATTTTCAGTTATTTCGCATTTTAATTTGCTTAATTATGCAGCAATCATTCATGTTCTTTCTTTTACTTGGTCCCATAAATATCGTCACTACTCTAGTTGGCACAAATGTCCATAGAAAATTTTTTGTTCTTTCACCTGTCAAACTTGCCCTTAATATGCCGGCTTTTGAGGTTAATTCTGGGATTAGGTTTATAAAACAACAAAAGTCTGATTCAGGCTGTTGAAAAAAACTTGCCCTTAATATTAACAAGGGTAAATTTTACGTATACTGTGTCAGTGTATACATTATTATCATGATTGGATGGATGATACATGAGTAAATTTTACACATGTATAATATATATTTAATTGTGATAGTGTTTAGATTGAAAGTGTATTTTCACTGCGATTATTGCGAATCCATCTTCTGTATCTAAAATGTTCTGGACATGGAATGGGCTTATCTCAGCCCACAACGAGCTCAGCAAAATTTGGAACCTTCCGAGTCTCTGACGGAAGCAACCAAGGCCATTAACTTAACCAGGCGTCTGTCACTCACGTCTCCAAAGATCCTATACAAAATTAAAGAAAGTCCCACGTCTCATCCAATCCTGGAGACCCGACCAATTTCCACCTTAAAATCCTGCCTAGACTTTCGACTTTCATAGATCTAGATCAAATGGTGGGCATATTGAGTTCCGTTTCTTAGTTTCGGCCTGCTTTGGTCCTTGCCATGTGTAACAAGATGGATTTTGAATATCATGAGGTGGGTCATTGTGTTTTAGTTTCTGTTAATTCCATGCATATCATTCTCTCTCTCTCTTTTTTTTTTAATGAATCATCTGCAAGCTATTGTTATTTCCTCGGTTTGAAGTAATTTTCTCTCTGGGATGACACTAGGAGCATACGAGGAACTCCAGAGGAGTGCAACTCTTTTCTTGCAGATGGTTGCCCTTTTCTTCTCCCAAGGCCCTTGTTTTCCTTTGCCATGGTTTCTCTCTCTCTCTCTCCAACCCCAACCCCAACCCCTTCGGATATAAATCTTAGTCCTCTGTTTTTATTCGATCATTATTTGTTTGCAGGTTATGGCATGGAATGCAGCCAGTTCATGAAAGGTAAGAAATGTTGTTGTTCCAATGATCCGTTTCCCTTTTTTTCTTCGGCCAGTATTGACTCAGCCAAGTCCTTTTTGATGTTCTTTAAATCCATGCGTGAAAATTGCGTTGCTTCTTTATTTTGGTCCTTTCCCTTTGCGCTTTCTGAAATACTACCTGCGACTCCCAACAAATTTGGCCATGGAGACTCCTTTAAGTTTAACCCCCACCCACCTCAACCAATAAATAAATATAAGAAGAAGAAGAAGAAGCCAAAGTGGTTTCCACTCTGCAGCAGTAAAGCATATACTAATTAATAGTACTACAAATGGTTTAGAGCCAAGACCGGGAAACATACGAGCGATGAAGTAGTTGGTCAAGCAAAGAAGTCAGTCAGTGGGTTCTTAACTTTGAATTTATTGGTTCTTGCTGAATTGCATTTTATTTTCCTTTCTTCTTCATGTTTCTTCGCGGTATATATTGCAGTCCGCGCAAACAGTTCATGCTTAAAAAGGAACAAGAAAGTAGGACAAAAAGTAGTGTAGGAACAGAAGTAGCACAGCATGGATGCCCATCCCCCCGCTCCACTCATCCTCCTCTGCATGTGACATCACAGCCACAACTCTCATTTTCTTTTGAGGTTTTTTTTTTTTTTTTTTTTTTTTTTGCATTTTCGCCATCACATATTACTGCTACATAGTTGGGGACGTGGCATGGGGTGTTGTTGCATCATTTCATGTCATCGAGGGATTTAACCTCTCTATTTTTATTTTTTTTTTTTATTTTCTTGGGTGAATTGTTAAGATCATGTCATGTCATTGAGGGCTTTAACCTCTCTATTTCTTCTTCTTTTTTTTAAAAAAAGTTTCTTGGGTGAATTGTTAAGAATTGTACTACTCCTAAGCTAGTACATTATACTAAGGGAGGATCAAATTAGACCAAAGTGAGTTAGAGGGAGGGAAGCTCTCAAGACTAAAGGGCTGCGCTGCTACACACCTTTTGAATTTAATTTCAACAATTTGTCTGTTTCTCTCAACAAATAACGGAAAATAAAAAATAATTTAGATATGAATTGCTAGAAGCAGTCACATTGGCAGAAACATTTAGAATAATTGAAAATTCACAAATTATGTGTACAATGATTGAATGTCGCAGTTGGTTAAACAACTGAAGATCGGAAATGTTGAGAGTGCTTGCTGAAGAAATAGTTGACAACCATGGAACGTCATGACGTCGTATTCTACTGGGTCAATGGCATGCCTGAAGTAATAAATTGAACAGAAGATTTGAAGCTGAAAATGGCGCTGGTTAATTAGGTTAGCAAACACTAATGGGAAGCACATAATATGGTAGTCAGTCTTGACTTCACCCCCCCCCCCCCAAAGTCACATTATCATATTATTACTACTAGACAATTATATATATATATATATTTTTACAACAACGATAATATTTCTATAATCTAATTTATCCTAATATAGAAAGGAGGGGAGCCCCTAATCTAGAGGGGAGGGAAACTTAAAGAGGCTATGTATAAGGAGATGATAAGTATAAGAAACTATTAAATCAAAGGGGTACTTTGGCATCTCTTTTGAATTTTTTTCATTGCAGGTAGGCGTCAAACACCTAATCTACAGTTCAAAGAGTGATTTTAGTCCCCTCTTTGATGATCACTGAACCAAAACTCAGTGGGTATGAGGTTAAATTTGGCTAGAAGCGGAGAAAATAGGGGGAAAATCTTTTGTGGATGGAGAAATATAGCAACCTGAATCTTCAATTAATTATATCCAAGTTCGTAATTGAACCAGCCGTGTATGAGCCAGCAAAACTTGAGCAATCCCCATGGTTGTAATTTTTTTTTTTTTTAATATATAGGGGCACTGATTTATGTGATCTTAATAATTTCATTGGTTGCTGATACATGTGGTTAGGTGTTGGGAGCAGGCTAGCAAGATACGGGTATGGCGTGTTTGGAATTGATTATGAAGGCCATGGAAAATCCGCGGGTGCCCGTTGTTACATTAAAAAGTTCGACAACATTGTCAACGACTGCTCTCATTTCTTCAAATCCGTTTGCTGTAAGTTACCTAATATTCCGATGGCCTGGAGAGCAAAATTTTTTAGGATACAATGCATTAAATAAATTGCACCCCACTTTCCCCTTCAAGTTTTAGCATTGCGTCAGTTATGATACCTGACTGAATTTTTATGCAACCTTTTTTTCGTGAAAACGGTGAGGAAAATGAATGCCCGGAAGAACAAAAGAGAAGAAAATGATAACCATGGCTTAAGTCCTTGATGGCTGCTGTTATTTATTTTGTGGGATCAGGTAGGGAAGAATACTTGGGGAAGAAAAGGTTCTTGTACGGAGAGTCGATGGGAGGGACGGTGGCTCTATTAGTGCACAAGAAGGACAGGGCTTTTTGGGACGGTGCTGTTCTGGTTGCGCCCATGTGCAAGGTAATAAGTAACGTTGCAGGAGGAATTTTTTTCATGTTTCGCATGGTGAACTGTAGAAATTTTGGAGTTTTACTAGTACTACACTATCTCTTATTCATCCACATAGGTAATTTGATTTTGGGAAAAGATCTTCCAAGTTCAAGTCTGAAATTAATTGTATAATGGACACTTGAACAGCTCGAACAATCCAGAAAGTTTGAGTACATTGCAAGAATGGATGGTGGAAGGTTTTTTTTTCAAAAAAAAAAAAAAAACCCCAAGAAAGAGAATTGTGAAATGTGACTAGTTAAACCCAACTTCCTCTAGAGAAGTTAGTCACCACATGAATTATAGGGTGGGAGGTCAAGAGTTATACGTGACTTCTTCCAAATTCATATGAGTGCATAAAAAAAAAAAAAAAATTGACTCGTCAAGGGCATTAGGGACCTTATCAGAGATGAATCCAGACTAGCCCTGACCAACCTAATAAGGGCATTAGGGACCTTATCAGAGATGAATCCAGATTAAGCCCTGACCAACCTAATAAGTAGTTAGCAGTTAGCTGATGCAGGCATTAATGCTTTTCTCATTTATAATAGTATGTAATGTTTGGACGTTGTCAGATTTCTGAGAAGGTAAAGCCACATCCGCTGGTCATAAGCGTGTTAACTAAAGTGGAAGACTTCATACCCAGGTGGAAGATAGTCCCCACCAAAGACGTCATTGATTCCGCTTTCAAGGACCCGCTTAAACGAGAACAGGTAAATGCAATCCTTACAACCAATCAGCAAACAGCTTGCTTTTTCTTCATCAATCATCTGTACTGAATCAAATACCAGTAAAAGGAGGACATATATGGCTATTTCTTTCCAACATCGACGGAATGGGTGGGACAGACGATTGATACTGAAGGGAAAAATTAAAGAATGTCCATTCCACGCTAAGGCTACTAGTAATTACTACAACACTTGATTTCTAGATAGAGTATTATGACAGATAGCAGGAGCAATGATGGTGTCTGCCTTTGATATCGTGCAGATTCGTGGCAACGAGCTGATATACCAAGAGAAGCCCAGGTTGAAAACAGCTCTGGAAATGCTCAGAACTAGCCTGGCCCTTGAGGGTACTTTGCATGAGGTGGTCAATTTCTTCTGCATTGTTTCTAGTACTAGCTAGTAATTTTTTGGCTTTGATTGCAGTAATTAAAATGTTGTTAATTAGCTGTGGGTGGATTTAATTCAGTGTGTGTGTGACATCATCAACAGGTGACTCTACCATTCTTTGTGTTGCATGGCGAAGCAGATACAGTGACGGACCCTGAAGTGAGCAAGGCATTATACGAGCAAGCCAGCAGCAAAGACAAGACCATAAAATTGTATCAAGGGATGTGGCATGGTTTGACATCGGGAGAACCTGATTCTAATATTGAGATTGTGTTCTCGGACATCATAGCGTGGCTCGACAAGAGATCATCATCATCAGCAGCAGCAGCCAATTTTGATTCCAGCACGCAGAATATAACCTTCAAACCGGCGGCGCAGCAGCGGCAGCAGCATAGCCCAATCTTGGAGAAGTTGAACACAATCGCATTGCCAACCGTCGAAGTAGAAGAAAAAGTAGAGGTGCGAAGCCCAGACAGACTAACAAGTACGCATGGGAAATACTTGTGTGGGTGGAAGGGACGTCGCATGCACCACCATCATTCGTCTATGTGATGTAGTTTGAGGGTGGACGTGTTCACTCTCTCTCCCTCTCTCGTCCCTAAAGATGATATGATGATACTTGAATTTCTCTGTATCAATTCTCAAACTTTATTTACAACATCTGAGCAGTAACTCTGTTCAAATTAGGTAAGATCAGTGTTTCTGCAGTAAACTAAAATTGTATTCACGGGATTGGTCAGTTTTTATGGGCACTCGTATGAAAGGTACCAAGAATTGAAGAAATGGCTAGTGATATTTGGATTTCAATAATAACCACCGGCTCTCTCGGGCTGGTGGCCACCACTAAATCCTTAAGGCTTTGGTGTTGCCTCCCACCAAAATGCCACTCCTGTGGCTCTTCTTCAAATCAAGACGGGTGCGTAGTACACCCGTCTGGTCCGGTGGTGGTTCTGTCCCCATCGATTTTCCATAGGCTTAGTTGAGCCTCCCCTAGTTAGAATAGGAGTAGAAGTAGACGGGTGCGTAGTGCATCCGTCTGATCCGATGGTGATTCTATCCCCATCGGTCTCCCGTAGGCTCAGTTGAGCATCTCCCTAGTTAAGTAGGAATAGAAGTAAAAGTAACGATAACAATTAACAAAAAAAAAAAAAATTGGATTTCAATAATAATTTCTTGTACTCCACCCTGACATTTTATTGTAGTTTCGATCCCATGTTCATTTTATTGTTAAATATAATATATATATATATATATATATAGATAATTTCAAAAACCTTTCTTGAGGTTTCTCACACTTTCACTGACCTCCTTTGAGGTTTTAAAAATTACTGTTAGCTCTATAGTTTTCAATCGGTAACTTGATAATCAATCCTTCAACCCATGATTAAAACTCACTCCTTACTCTCATCAATAAGGATAATAAAAGACATTTAAAGGTTATGAGAAATATTTACTTTTAACATATTATACATTGTCCTAAGAATGCATTATAGATGTAATATTATTCGTTGTCCTAATAAAGTTGGAGAAAGAAATATCGGAAACTTAAAAATAGTTTAAACAAAAAGAAAAAAGCAAGAAACTTACCAAGCCATTAAATTAAACTCTTAAAAAACTAAATGCTAAATGATGTAATTAGACAGTATTAGCACAGGCATAAAATATGCCAGAATAAGGACCACCACTGACATAAGGTAACTTTTGACAAAAAAAAAAAAAAATTCACATAAGGTGACCATTACATCCAATCATATTTGATTTTGCAAAGAGGAAATATAAGAATGCATTTTTGTAGAGAATAATATCCTTATTAAAAATACTCTTTCCATCTCATTGAAATATTTTTTTATTGTATCTTTGTTGTATTTTTTATTTTGAAATATTTGAACATGTGATAAATAATTTGGGACGAAAAAAGTAAGTGGGAGTGGCACTTGAAGGTTTATTAGTGTTGAAATTCAAATTAACCCTCCTAAAAAATAATAATAATAAGAGAGGGAAAGAAAGAAGGCGATATTAGTCGGTGGTTGAGTTTCAATTTTGAAGAAACTATTTTATCAACCAAAACCCACATCCTTATACTTACTACTGCTACTGGTAAGCTCGCGAAGCCCTTTGAAAATCTTCTACGCCATTACCTCTCTGCTTCTATAACTCGCTCTTCGCCTAGAGAGCTTATCGATTTTTTTTTTTGAATTTTTGTTGCCGGTTAACCCTAGCTTTTTTTGCTAGTAATATAGTATTTGTTTTTGCAGAATTCCTATTATCCGAGTATCATCACTGCGATCTCAGAAAAATGAGGTTAGTCGAGACGCTCGTCAATTTACGCCTCTTGTTTTGTGGTTTTTTTTTTTTTTTTCTAGCGGTTGTATGTGTGTCTGCACAAGCTTTTTACTGTTACTGGTATTAGTTATTAATCCACAAAGGGGATGGATGTAGGCGTGGAGGTTTTCTATGTATCTTTTGACAGGACAATTTGGCTCGAATACATTTATATATTTTTTTGGTACTAATACATATGCGCGGTTTCATTCTGTGACAGTGAACGATTATTTGAAATAATAGTAGTGTGGGTAGGTCTATTATTTTCGGTTTATTCATTTTTGTATCACTTCTTTTCTGATGAGTTTACTGATAATTTTATTTATTTACTTACTTATATTTTAATTTTTGCAGTGGGCCAATGCAGGAGGACGTCCCTGTAAGTCTGCTTTACCTTTTTTTCTTATTGTCCTTGCATATTAGTCTTTCCATGTTTGCTGCAAGGTCATTATTAGTACTTTGATGGTCTGTTTGCTGTACGTTATAGGCTTCTGCTTCTTTGTCTAGAATTACTGTTTGTTTGGTTCATCTAATCTAGAAGGATATGGTTTCAGTAGTTGCTTCTCTGGTTGCCGCCCTTTTGATAGTTTTGATGGCTGTGGTGTCTATGTTTTCATTTTTCATATTTCATATAGTGTGCTGCCTTCATAATTTAACAAACTGGAAAGCTGACGCCATTTCGAAGTTTTTCTTACATTCCCTTATCGGCAATTGCCTTTGATGCTATTCAACTAGAAATATTGTTTGGATGACGATCTCAATTTGTCAGCTCCTTTGTGTTAAAGCCCCAATTAAAGGCAAGTAAGACCTTTAAGGAAACCAGAATTGAAGATTTTCTTTTTTGTTTCCTTTAAGTATATAAGGTGCATGATTTGGTTCTTTCAATAATAGAATCTGAGTTAAATTGATAATAGTACCTTGGATTTCAACGCTTTAGTGTATTAAATTATCTTTTGAAAGCATGCTTTTGTTATGTTCAGGACAGTCCTGCCCCTTGTGCCTTGGGAGAAAAAGAAAATAAGCAAACTGCAAGAAACAAATATGATAAAAGCCATTGTTCTGATTTTACTAATTCAACAGGCGACATTTGCCTGCATTAATGTCTTCCTCCATCCTGCCTCACTAAAATACATCTTGGTTGCTGCAGATATTCTAGTCCATGGTATTAATAACTTAGAAATTTTGGCCTTTACATCTTGCACGTCTTTACATGATTTTTGCATCACACTCAAGTTTCCGGTGCTTTTTCTTCTAAAAATATTCTAGCTTATCTGATTGTTGCAAAATGCATGAAACGCTGTTAATGCTGCTGTCACATATGTATGACAGGGAAAGAATGAGGAAGAGGAGTTCAACACAGGACCTCTTTCTGTTTTAATGATGAGTGTCAAGAACAATACTCAGGTACATCGGGAGAAGTAGTGCAACCAATTGGAGTAACTGTTCTTACACTGATATAAGCATTTTGTTTTACTGTTTCTTAAAAGTAAAAGCACATTTTTTGTTTTATTATTCTTCATTTTTCATTTCAAAACCGTCATACCAAGAAACAGTTGATGAGCATTGAAGCTGATTTGAATCTTTGTACTTGTTTTCAATGTCTGGATTCCTCATATTATGTTCTCAATTTTGTTTCATGACCAGGTACTTATCAACTGTAGGAACAATAGGAAACTTCTTGGGCGTGTGAGGGCTTTTGATCGTCACTGCAACATGGTCCTGGAAAATGTTAAGGAGATGTGGACTGAGGTCGGTTTGTTTCTCAAAGTACCACGCTGTCTTGAACACTTGATTTCAATTTGGTTCGTGCATTTATTCACTCCCATTACTATGTTTCTGCTCAGGTGCCCAAGACTGGGAAAGGAAAGAAAAAAGCTCTACCCGTCAACAAAGACAGGTTTATTAGCAAAATGTTCCTTCGCGGGGATTCTGTGATTATTGTTCTTAGGAACCCTAAGTGAGAGGTAATTCTTCTCTCTTGCATTTTATTGAGTGTTCTAGTTTGGGTAGAATGTGCATCCTGACCATATGAAGTAGATGTAAGTCTAGCTGATATATGTTAGATAAGTGCAGTTTTGCTGATAATGATGATTCATTGAGTGCGTTCATCTATCTTTCATAGAGCGACTGCTCTTTGCTGTTCTTTTGTGGACCTGGTAACCAGAATTTGTCAGATTCTGATGTTATATGCTTGACATTATCAGTTAGATTCTGGAGTCTGTGCTGAGTAGGTTGCATGGGAGTGGAGTCAATGACCTGATATTGTTTTGATGCTAATTCTTTTTATCTCCATGTCATTTGATAGAAGTTAACGTATTATTTAATCTTCAGATACCTTTATAGCTTGTTGGCTCTTTTATGATGTTGTTTGATGATGTGCTTGCATCTAACTACATCTGCCTTTTCCGCTTCTTTCACTCTCTCCACTGCAATGTTATGAATATATTGGGTCACTACAGGGGAATTCATTCCCTAGTTAGAATTTGAGTGTTACCCAATCGCAAGAAAACTTGTCTCTTATGTGCGCACATAAATAATTGCAATGTGGAGTTGTTGAACTACCCAAACTCCTCTCTTTCCCTGCTGTCTGGGTAGTTCATGGGTTGAATTGAACTATTTTTATGTACCTATGATAAGTCAACAGTGTGAATCAAGCTCTAGGGCTTTATTCATGAGATATGTTAGCTTTTACATCCGTATGCAAACTGTGGAAGTTTGGGGTATTGTTGTTAAGTTTAAAGTTTCATGATGCAATGCTTCAACTCTATGCTGTGCTAAATTCAAATCTCAAGGATCAGTATCGATATTGTATTTTCACATTGCTGATTTATTCATAAAAGAAACCTCTATTTGCTGTTTCCTAATCCTATTTTCTATTCTTTTTGCATTCTTGTCTTCACTTGGATCTTAGATGTTAATTTGGTTTGCAGCGATGTAGTCAGGCTATATGGCATACAAGGGGCTTTTGAGATGGGATCGAAACTCTCAGCATTTTGGATTGTAAAAAAAGGGGAACCCGCCGGAGTGTTTTTGATTAATTTAAGGTTAATGCAGCTAGATGTTTGAATGGACATCGTGTTTGGTGCCATCTTCGACCTGAGTTGATTGTTAAACACCTGAGTCTTAATTGTCCCCTCTGTAGACACCCAGATTTTCGTTTTTGTATTTTTATGTATTAGAAACTAAGAAGTAACGCTCGCTCATCTCACCAATTACTTAAGATCTAGGTTTTTTTATTCTATATTTTAGAAATTACTTAAAAAGTAACGCTTGTATTCTATCCACTAAAATACGAACAACTTGAAACAAAATGGCATGAGCTTGCAAATGGGAATGGCGGAAATTCAGGCATCAAGTAAATGCCAATCGCACCTACCGGAGGGATGCCAAAAGAAATAGTGTACAACAAGCAAACTCGAATTTAGCTATTGCAATAGCATGAAAAAATAGGCTGCAACTGATGCAGATACTGCGCAGCGGTGGTCTACAAAAAGCATCAATAGTAGGGCACTTAAAATTACAAAAATGCAGGAAAAGACATACATCTAAGGTACCATACCGAAGCGACAAGAAGGGGATCGTACTTTTCCCACCATTACCCCGACTATAACTAGTTAGGCATGGATACACGAAGCAGCATACAGGCACTAAAATACAGAGTCTCGTCCAGCATATTTCCCTCTGTCAAGGGGCTCGTCCAGCACTAACACACAGGCGCTCTGCTGAAACTCACGCCGTTGAGGTGCCATCTTCCTTGTGGTCACCAAAGATGCGTTGCCTAAAATCTGCAACCATCAAAGGAAGACCCTTCCTAAGTGGTACTTTGGGCTCCCAACCAAGAAACTCTTTCGCTTTTGAGATATCTGGTTTTCTTTTGTGCGGGTCATCCTCTGTGTTTGGCCTGAACTCAATCTTAGCATTTGGATCAATAGTTTCTTGTACCACCTGCATATGCCAGATTCACTCATGGAATTAACAGTGTGTAGACCAAGATGCACGTGTACTAACAACAACACTAGGTGCAAAGCATTACCATTTTAATGAAGATTTGACCTCCCAAAATAAATGAATGAAAAAAAAAAATTGGAAAGGTGAAGATATAAATTTCAAATCGTGTAAGAATCAGCTAAAACTGATCTCTAGTTGTCAAGAGATTCAACCAGCATATCCACAGGACAGTGCTCTCATGTCTAGAGGTAGAACTCAATGGGAGCATTCTTCATCTTCCTATAACATGCATATTTCTCCAAAGGTGCTTACACCTTACACTTTTACATATTTGTCAGTCAAATCATGCCAAAAGGTCCCACACAAACACAATCTCCTTAATACTCGAAACGTGGAAACTTCTTGTAACAGAAAAGGCCTCTTTTGCCCTTTGAATCTCATCTATGTGTGAGACTTTGGACATTGTAAACACACTCTTGAAATTTGAGATCCAAGTTTCAACAACGTGTTCCCCTTGTACAATGAAAGGTCCTCCACCATGTGAATGTTCAAGAAGCCTAGAATTTTTCTGATAGCTATTAAAGGGTACTAAGAACATGTCAAAGAAGCGAGCTGATTAAGGTAGAGTTCAGTACTACAATCACCGCATTTTGAGTAAGTAACATACCTGAGCGAGTTCGAGCATGGTGAATTCACCAGGGTTTCCAAGATTGAAAGGCCCTACATGTTCTCCTTCCATCAAGCGCATAAGACCCTCAACCTTTGAAATTCAAAGAAACAAAAGATTCACCAACAAATTTTTTCTAAATAATTTCAAGATGGTATTAGTGCAGAAAAAATTGGTAAAGTTAACATCATCAATCAAATGACAAGGTCATGCCATAGAAGATAAGCCAAGAAATAATAAAGAAGGAAGCGAATTATCAACAGTATCACAATTAATTATCTGGGATCAGCCAGTAGTCCACATTCACACGTGACATCTACAATTTGGGGAAACCATCCACTTTACCAGATGTACATTGTCCAGAGTGCTTAGAAGAAAGATATTAAATTTTACCCTGAATCAGTTACATAAATGCGTACATCTTATAAACCTGTTACCTGATTATCCTTGAAACATGGATATTTACACACGCACGCGTCTGATTCACGTATGCTGATTATTAGTAAACACAATGTAGTTAAACTGCATTTCATCAAGGAGATTAAACACGATCTTTCATTCTGCATTTTGCAGACCCAGTGAAAACCTAAAAAGGCTAGAGCATTAAGGAAAATGAAGGCTTCTTAAGAGGAGTGATATGAGAGGTGTTATGTTTGAGATGCAGAAGGCAACTGCAACAAAGACGCAATTTATTGCACTCATAGATGGAGCTAGAGGGCAGGGAGGGGCCGCCGACCCCAAGTTTTAGAGAAACACATGTTCCTCCATTGTAGAAGTAAATATCTTAAACTTTCGCCATTTCAAAAACTTGAAAATACATTATGTCATACACTTATGTTTAGAAAAGTTAAATTCACACCCCCTCAAGTTAAATTTTCTGGTTCCATCTTCGACTGGACATAAGGTCTAATGAATGAAAACACTAAGAAATTCTGAAACTAGTAAAAGAGGGAAACATTGCCATCCCACAAAAAGTAGAAGAAACAGACACAAATCCGCAAGTGTTAAAAACCTCATGAAACTCCTCACCAGATCTGAAACGTATTGGAAACTTCTGGTCTGTTTCCCATCACCATAAACTGTCAATGGTTCCTTCCTCAAGGCCTGCAACACGATCCGGATGATACCCAATGTATTACTTAATTTGAAAATAGAAGGCATTGAAAGAGCCAAAAACAATCATCTTTAAACAGAAGGAAAAAGAAAGGCACCTGAGCAACAAAATTGCTGACAACACGACCATCATCAAGAAACATTCTAGGTCCATAGGTATTAAAGATCCTAGCAATCCTCACCTGTCACATTTGCAATACATATATTCCAACATGTAAAATAGTACCAACTTAAATTAGTGAATTGCTACGGTACTAGTCCAAGTGCCATCCTAGTGTATCGCAAAATTAATAGTACCAAGCAAAGCATGGAAGCACAAGTCGAGGAGTATAACAAATAAATGGTACCAAAGTTGCGTAGCATATGAATACCATTTAATGCGAAATAAAATACTGTAGTTGGAGAAACCAAAAAAAAAATACTGTAGTTGGAGAAATTAAAAGGTTGGGAAAGTAAGAAACACATGGTGCCAGTGTCATGCTGTAGCATAGCAAGTAACTAAGACGGTAGTACTAGCAAGCAGTTGAATGGTAATGTGAACAAACCTCAACATCGGCACCCCTGTGGTAGTCCATTGTCAACGTTTCAGCAGTCCGCTTTCCCTCATCGTAACAACTTCGGACACCTGTCATCAACTTAATAGTTCGTCAATGAACCCACCAAAAGCTCCAACTACATACAATTGAATTTTAGATGCATCTCTAGTCATGCGTTAGGTAGATCTCAGATTAGATCACCACAACCACCAACAATTTTTCGTATTTTAATTTAGTCCTTCATTTTTTTTTTTCGGTTTGGGTGTTGGGTGGGGTGGGGGGGGGCCGCAGCAGGGCGGCGTCGTAAGAAGGCTAGACGTCAGTTTCCGACTTGAGGGTTGTCATTTTGACATAAGGTGGGCCGCAGGCACCAACGAGGGAAAAGAAAGAAGACAGTAAGAAAAGAACAAAAGAAGTCGGATTGGTGGACCCGAAAATGACGAACGGTTAACCACGCGACAAATCTTTTTCGACCACATCATCAATGTATCAAACCGCCAAAACATCTCCTTCACAACACCCGGCGAGACATTTCAAAAACTTCCAGCCCAAACGGAAGTAATAGGCTCACGTTAGTCATATCCCTACTAGCTAATGCTAACGTGAGCAGGAGCCGTCTGTTCTGCCCCGCCCCCTTCAGTACTCCCCAAAGCAGGAAAAGGAAAAAAAAAAAAAAAAAGAGGGCTGGGGGTGGGTGGGTAATGACTAACAAAAAAATAAAAATAAAAAAAAGGAAAGAGAAAAGAGACGAAGAAAAGTCATGCACATGCAAGGGACCAAAAAAACAAAATGAAAACAGCTAGTAGAAACCTAAGTACAACCAACCACATGCAAATACAAAGGGTGTATTGTACATACCGATGGGGTTGACATTGCCCCAGTAGGTTTCGACTTGTGGATGTTGCAGAGGGTCGCCGTACACCTCGCTGGTGCTGGTTAGCAAAAACCGGGCTCCCACTCTCTTTGCCAGTCCCAGCATGTTCAGAGTCCCCACCACGTTCGTCTTGTGAAATCCCCCAACCAAAAAATTTAGATTAAGGAAAAAAAACGGAAGAACAAGTAACACCCATCAATCTAAGCGACCAATTCCAGAAAACGCATTATTCACAAGATATTTTGAATTGATAAAACAATTACTGTACTCTAGACTGAAAAAAAAAAAAAAAAGTAGCAGAAGAAGGATATAATAGTCTTGACAGGATTGTGCTTGTAATGGACAGGAGAAGCAGGGCAAGCCAAATGGTAGATCTGGTCCACCTCCAACAGAAGGGGCTCGACGACGTCGTGCCTGATGAGCTCGAATCTAGGGTTCCCCAAGTGATGCTGCACATTCTCCTTCCTTCCCGTGAAGAAATTATCCACCACGATCACGCTATCTCCCCTCGCCATCAGACGGTCCACCAGATGGCTCCCCACGAACCCGGCCCCGCCCGTCACCACGATCCTCAGCCCCTTCCTCTTCAGCCCCAGAGGAATTTTCCCGCCCGAATTGAACCCTCCCAGCTGGTTCTGGTAGGCCATCCGATGGGGATTCCACGACCCGGATGTGATGGACTCCAGGCTGCTGCCACCGCCGTGATTGTAATTGTAACCGCCCCCGGTATTGTAATAGGGGGAATTGGAGGAGGAAGGGAGGAGGGCGAAGACAAGAGTGGCTATGGCAATGCCGACGAATACGAAGATGAGTCGCTGCTCCCGGAGCATGTAACGAATCGGGCGGATCACGCTGAGCCAAGGCTTGGGGGGTTTGGGAAAGTACTCGTCGGTGGCCGGATGGGACTCGTGTCCCCTGTAGATCAGCTCCGAACCCATGCTCTCACAAGTCTCCCTCTCTCTCACCTCTTCTCTTCTCTTCTCTCTCTGACAGGAACGATGAAAAAAAAATTAAGAGGAGACAATGTTGGGGTGCGGACGATTTGGATGTATGTGGGAGAGCTGAGTATAAATATATTTCTGATGAACAGCTGAGAAAGAGAGAGAGAGAGAGAAGGAGCGAGAGGAATTGTCGCCGGGAAAGGATGGAACTCCCACTTTCCGGCGCGTGACGTGGAGGGCGGGAGTGGGTGATGGAACGTTGAGGACGACTTGAACTAGTAGTGCCTGCCAATTAACTACTGCTACTACTTGTAGAAGGTGGGGATTATATCGGTCAAAAATCCGATCGATTTAATAAAAGGTCGGTCACTTCGCCTTGGATGTTGTTATTACCAAATTAGCCTCGCTGCTTTCCTTTGAAATTTTCTTTTACTCTCCTCCGCTGTAGCGAGTTAGGCACGTCAGTCCTGGTTCTACAAGTAAAACTGGTTAAGTACGTGCTTCAAAAGAGGGCAATTGGTGGGATGGCGGTAAATTGATCCTAATAATCTGCTTTTAAGGCCCATATTACTGTACTCGCTTCAAATTTAAATTTGACGGTTACATGTGAATTTTCATTTCCAAATTAACTGGTGGGAGTCCATCTATTCCAAAAAAAAAAAAACAAATAAATGGCCGTCCAAGTAGTTGTTGTTTCTCCATAAGCTTCTCATGTCTTTGGATTGTGTGTTTGGATTGTCATTTTCTGCCAGAAAATTACGTCATTTTCCGTGATCACATTTTCCTATTATCTTTTTCTTTCACATACATCAAATCGCTACAGTAATTTTTTCATGGAAAGTAACGGAAAATACAATCCAAACGGGGTCAATTGAGTCAAACTCGAGTAGCATCATATTCGATCTCGAACTTAAACTCCATCAAGTGTATTATTTGAGTTCAAACTCGACTTGTTTAAGATCAAATAAATTGCAAGCCTTATCAAACTCGAGTTTGAGTTTTTCTTTTTTTTTTTTTTAAATTTTTACATTTTAGATTTATCAGATTATCATTTTGCCATGAGCAATTACTTCATGTAAATTTATTAAAATACGAACCCATAATAGTCATTTTGTAATTAAAATATATAATATATAAATAATATAAATATTCGATTAAGTTTGTCGAGTACTCAAGTATTTACTTATGATGCTCAAACTCAACTTGTTACACGTAACAAACAGCTCAAACTCGAACTCGAACTCTGTCAAAACTTTTAACCAAACTGCTCGCGAGCGGTTTGGCTTGATAGCACCCCTAATCTTAATTCTGCCCTCATCCCCAAGTCAATAAAGGCAGATTAAAGGAATGTCTAGTAACTTGTATTTAATAGTGGATATTAATTCGTTTAGGATTTTTTCAATTCAATAAATTTGATAACAAAAATGGCTTACCACTTAATATGTCAAGCATTCCTTAATTGGTGTACAAAATTTTAAGTGAAATTTTTTATTGAATGTTCTAAATCAATCACATATACTACACTTGTCATATATATCACACACTTTCATACATATTGTGGCACAAAATATACATTTAGTCTGTTTCTGTTCTCGACACACACACACATGTACACATACTCACACACAATTACACATACCTCTCAATTGTTTATTGTCTTTTTCACGCACCCATACACTTTTTCTTTCTCTCTAAATACGTAAACAAAGATAATTTTTTTAAGGACAAAAGTACAATATTTGTGTGAAATTTAAATTCGATGTTAGTTGTCAAAGAGATATACCTTTATCAATTCAGTAATTTAACATTTTTGGTACTCAATTTTTGAACTTGAAAATTCAAATTTCAGATTTCAATTTTATCAAACAAAACCTAAAATCCAATTTTAGTTGTCTAATCTCGGATATGAAATTGTTTTAGTCTATAAAGAAAGTAGTATGGCAATTTCAACTAGGCAAAATCTATATAGTATGATAAACTAAACATTGGGTGTGTGTTTGAACAGGCATTTTCAGAAACCTCTCCTGAGGCTTCTGACAATCTCACTCACCTTCCTTGAACTTTGCAAAATATCAGATACCTCCCCTGTCAGGTTATTGGGCCCTATTTGTGATTTCATTGATGATGAATTGACAGATATACCCTCATAACTTATGATATATTTCGAAACTATTTTAACAGAATTAGTTAAATGAGTAATGCAAATGATTAACCAACTTAACTACAATTTGGATGCAAAACTAATAGCTAATATCGGTTAGAGGAAATGGCACCAAAAAAAGGCATTTTTTTTGTGATTGAAGCGATACCAGGAGGCACAGTGATGAATTTTATTTGATGACAAATATAGCTTCTTCAGCCATATTGAGGAAAGCAGAGAAAGGGGGAGAGTTGAAGTGGGAATTGCTCTCCTGGAAGAGGTGGAAAAGATGAGTAAAGAAGAGCATCTCAAGCAAAGCAAGGTTAGACTCTACAAATTTCTGCTGTAAACCATTTGAACGTTTTATACTTTGGCTATGGATGTTGAGATTGTTGTCATTGATCATATTTTTATAGTTATGAGACAAGTGTTAAGGCAGTTGTCATTGATCATGTTTCTACACTGTATTTTGTGTTAACAAGGCTGCGTTTTTTGATAGATCACAGTGATACTAACACGCGAGTTATTTCTGCAGAATCATGTTGGTGGCAGTGCGCCTGCTGTATTATCTAGTCAAGGTAGCAATATGCCCACCAACTCAATCTACTGACCTTGATGTTGAATTCAATTTGCAAACAACTACCAATGCTGCTAAGAGAAATGTAATTGTTCTTATTGCTTGTTTACATTATGAGTTTAAGAATCTATACTAATTTCAAACAAATCTGCACCATTTGTCATATCTAACCTCAGTAGGTAAACTTCAAAATCAGCTCCTGAATCAACTGCAGTTGGCAGCACTAACAGCTCCCAAGTAGAGACATCTCTCAACATCAATGCTTCAGCTACTCAAGACTCTCACAATGTCTGCTGCAGCTTTAGTTTGAGGTTTTAAGTTGGTACAAATCTTTTGTTATTTAAATGGTGCAAAAACAATTGTATCTGATTTTTTGGTATTTACTAACACCTGAGTGGTGCCATTTGACTGAAAAGACACAAATTTGCTACCCACTCAAATCTTTTCTATTGCTAGAACTAAAATTTTGACAAATGTTCTGGACAGCTTATAAGACGTATGTATCTGCTGATGCCTTGGGTATGGTTGTACTTTGGAAACCAAAAACTCTATATTTCTAGTATTACTTCTAAGCTGTGTTTTTGTGTAATCAATGCTTGTAGTATTCAATAACAGCTGTGGTTGCTTATATGGACAACCTGGTTCTGCACAACTGTAAATTAGTTCTCATTTAACTTCTTTTACAATCAACATAAAAAGTTAAAAATACAAGGTTGATTACGAGCAACCATTTCATTATGGAATTTGACTAATCAACTCTGCCCATCTGCACTAGTTCTTCTCTTTGCATGGTTGATTGTCTTTCATCTCTTTGACTACTCACCTCACCCTCTTCAGGCCCTTCATACCACTGAAAGAATATGCAATTTGAATAGCAGAAATAAAGCTTATTTGGATTCCTCCGACTCTCAGAAATTATTATACAGTTTAGTGTGATTCTCTTTATTCCGTTTTTCTTTTTCTGCTTGTGCCCTGAAAATGGGGTAATTTGAATTTTATATCATATGCAACAGTTCATTTTAGGAACTTGAATTGGAAAGCAATATGCATTCCTCATGCACATTTTTCACCCAATATATTGTGCCAGAAAATTTAATGCTTTTGGTTTAAATTCCTTAGTGGTACGATTATAAAAAGAAGACAATTAATACAAACACTTTTAACATATTTTGTAAGTATCATTCATTTTTGACATGAGTTCAAAATTGATGGTTCTGATATATTTGGTTAAATGGAATAATGGACACCCGTTGGAAAAGTTGTATTTGTAGTTATGGTTACTGGAGCAGGCAGTTTAATTGACAAACTGATGATACCGTCCTAAGCATTAGCTGTGACAACCGAGACAACTGATTGCAGGTCCCGTCCAACTAAAATAGATTTAACTAAGCCATACTCATGGCTCAAGTAAAGGCAATTTGGCGGTGGAAGGAAGACTTTTGAGTGATCTGGAAGTTCCTTTGTCATGAAAAATTCAAAACAAGCTGGCAGTACTCTGTACCTAAAGACCACATCGTATTAATAAACTAAAGAAAACTCAACACTTAGTTATAATACATAATTAATTAGATAAACATTTGAAATCTGTAACCGCGTCTTTTTTTTTTTTAATTATTAATAACGTGACCACTTCTATTCTTTACATCCACGTCTGGTTAGGCATGGCGAGATTCTGTTTGGAATGTGAGTTTTTTGGGAGTTTATCTAAAATTTTACTGTAATTCAATGTAGAAGTTTTTTAACAAATTTTTAAAATGCGTAGATTTTTTAATATTTTGAAGTGTATAGTTTAAAAATTTTGAGAAATTTTTCGATGTTACTGCAGCTAAAATTTTTAAAAAACTTGGGTTTCAAAGCCTATAAACAGATGAAAAACAGTGAATTGAAGTAACCGTGAAGTAACAGCCACGAGGCCGAACGAAATTAATTATGAGATGCTATGGCCTGGGGCCTGGGCAATGAATGCATCATTAGAGTTGCAACTGAGCATGAGGAAATCCGATTTCTACCTGAGCCGGTTCCGTTAGTACTACATGATTTTGTGATTTGATTGATATAATATGAAAAGATTAACACATTACCACTTGAAAGTACAATAATACCTGATCAGCATTGGCGGACATAAAGTCTGAAAAGTTATGCTTTAATTAGGAAATACAAACGGGCTACCAACGGTAGTGAGACAAATCAAAATTGTGGCTGCTAATTTTTTTTTTTTTTTTGGGTAACATGCGCTATTTGTTTTACCTAAATGCATACATTGACGTTTATTTTCTCATTATATTTATGCATAATTTTATTTATTTTATTTTAAAAAATTAAAACTAATAGTTGATAGATCGTGCGTCCATTCCACTCATTATCTAACTAATTGTTTGGATTACATTTTTTCTGAATTTTTTATAGAGAAATTACTGTATCAATTTGATATGTGTGAAATAAAAAAATAATTAAAAATTATGTTTACGGTAAAAAAATTACTGTCCAAACAAGACATAAAAAAACGAGTTAATACCCCAATGTTGTGCACCTTGTGACAACCAAAAGAGACACAGACAAAAAGGTGTGTGAATAAACTAGCTC